CCCCGACCTGCGTGATCCGCGGTGTCGGCGCCTGCTGCGGCCTCCACGAGGGGAGCGGCGGGGAGGGGGGGGAGGGGGACTTTCGGTCCTCCATGAGGACCTCACAACGATTCTTCACGCGTTGGGGTTGCAGGGGGAGGGGAGAGGCCCGGGCTACAACTTCGCCGTTCTACACGTCAAAGAGGTCGACGACGCGGGGCATGACCGCAATGTGGAGGCGAAGCTGGCGGCGTTGCGGCGCTGCGGGGAGGTGGTGGGGGCGCTGTGGGAGGCCCTGCCGGCGGGCGCGACGATGGCCCTCGCCGCCGATCACTCCACGCCGGTGGGGGTGGGGGATCACTGCTGTGAGCCAGTCCCTGTTTCCGTCGCGACAAAGCCCTTGCCGTGTGGCCCTCGCGGGCGCGAGGGATGCGCCTTCCGCGATGGTGCTCAGTACTACAGCGAGGCCTTGGGTTCTGAAAAAAGCGGCCTAGGGCGTTTTCGTGGGGAGGCTTTAGTACCACTTTTGAAGAGGGCGAATGCTTACTATCATTATTCTTCATGAGTCGTATACTTCCTGGATTTAGTTGGTTTACACGGGTTTAACCTTTATCTCTATTGTTTTTACCGGACTTTAGCTCATAATTGAATTATACTAGATTCTAACTTGTACCCAGTTAGATTGAACTAATATACTAAAGGGATGACGGAAGCTAACATCGTCATCAGGATGCATAATATTAACTTTCTATTACATTTCCCCTAGTCATTCTAGCCTGTTGGGTTTCCATTACATTACACATTTAGTTTACTTTAATGTTTCCTACATCCACTTTCTTTTTATCTCATTACATTTTAAACCTCGATCAATTAAAGTTTCTTTTTTTAACATATTTAGGATATATATATTTAAAAGAGTTTTTTATTCATAGGTCAATTACACGATAATTGCGTTGCACGACACTAAATTCTTTTAAATTTCATTATATATATTTCTTAACACTCAGTGTTGTCAATTTAGCTTAATTTCTATTCCAAAATATATAGATAAATAAATAAATAAAAATAAGATTCTCTCTATATATCAAAGTGAATAGTGTTTTTAGTTTCTTTCATCGTTGCTAATAGACAAAGCTCCTTAGAGGAGGTAGCACAAAAAGCCTGCTAAGGTTTTTTTCTTTTATTGTTTCTCAATGTCCCTATATTTAACTCTCATTAAATTATATTTTTAGATAAATTCTGAATTGACGTTTATTGATACTCAAGAGTCCTTTTCTCTACTGTTTATTTGAAAATTTCTTTCACAAATAAGCATTTTTCTCTTTGACGTCCAGATTGCGTGCTTAAAGGTCATTCTAGTATATTACACAAGGGTATCTAAGGGTTAAAAAACACTATTCATTTATTCAGAGTTTATATTCTTTAGATTTTTCACACTTCTATACTGTTTGAGCTCGAATTATATATATATCTATATATATATATATATATATATATATTTCTTAATATATATATATATATATATATTATT